AAAAAAAAAAAAAAAGAATCATAACTGGATATAGGAAAGTTTATTGTAATTGCTGTGAAAAAAAATTTTTGGCACTTAGAATGACTGAGGCAAAAGATCATAATTTCAATTCACTGCTGAAAAATTTAAGACTTTTCAAGAACCTGTCTCAAAATAAACAAATAAATAAATGCTGGGGGTGTAGCTTTAAGGATATAGGATTAATCCCTAATACCTCAAAGAACAAAACAGTCTTATTGCTCATCTTATGTGCTTACTCCTTTACATTCCCACAAAGCATTCCAGCTTTACTGATAAACCATAAAATTGTAATATACTAGAAAAATTCTTTGAATGTTACACTAAAATTGACCTCTCTACCTGAAGAAAGGCACAGTTTTAAAATGTTTTGTTCACTGATGAATTTATAACATTTTGAAGTTTAAGTAGTACCCAAATGTCCAAACTTTGAAGATAAACAGTGCCAACGTATGGAGGAGAGCAATAGTATTGTATGACTTACATTATTCATGCCTTTACAGAAAAACATTTGCATATTTTTTTCCATGTCCTATGAAGAGCATATTTTACATCTTTATTCCTCAAGCTGTAGATCAAAGGATTCAACAAGGGGATGACCAGGGTATAAAATATGGAAGCCACTTTGTCAGTGTCACTGGAGTGACTGGACTTGGGCTGCACGTACATAAATACCAGCGTGCCATAGAACATGGTGACCATGGTAAGGTGGGACCCACAGGTGGAGAAGGCCTTGCGTCTGCCCTCTGCAGACTTCATCCTGAGAATTGTTATGAGGATGAGCAGGTAGGACACAAGGACCATCAGGAGAGAGGAAATCGAGTTAAAAGCTGCAAATGTCATTATTATATATTCAACTTCATGAATACTTGAGCAAAGCAAAGAATTCAAGGGGTTACAATCACAGTAAAAATGATTAATGACATAGTGTTCACAAAAGGACAAAGTGAAAATCTTCACAGAAATGAGAAGAGAGACAAATGTGGAGTAGAGATAAGGAATCCCCACTAGTATCCAACATACCCTTGGTGACATGATGACAGTGTAGAGAAGAGGATTACAAATGGCCACATAGCGGTCATAGGACATCGCAGCCAGAATAAAAAGCTCACTAATGATGAACATAGTAAAGAAAGCCATCTGTATAGCACAACCATAATAGGAGATTGTATTTTGATCAGCCACAAAATTTACCAGCATTTTGGGTCCCACTGCTGTGGAATAACCAAGATCAGTGAGAGCCAGGTGTTTGAGGAAAAAGTACATGGGAGTTTGAAGCCTGGGGTCCACCTGAGTGAGGATGATCATACCCAGGTTGCCCAGCA